TTTCCTCTTGCACAGGCCAGGTGCACAAGGAGTATAACCCAGGATCTGCTTGGCTCTGGGGCCCTACAGCATCTTTGCATTCTCTGGGCAAGGCAGCAGTCTGGGCTATTATTTGAAAGCACCAAGGGAAACCTCGTTGCAGATCAACTCCTCCTCGCAGGTTATTAAACAGAAGAAACAAGAGCATGCCACCCTGCCTGGGGAGGTTCATTATTGCTTTAGAAAGGAAGAGTGCAGGGAACCTTCATGGCAGCAGCAATGTACATTAACACTTGGGAGGGAAGCACAGAGCTCTGGCTTTCTGCAAACATGAGAACCGATTCAAAAACCCTACAAGCAGTGAAGAGACCCCCAGAGCGAGATTCTGAATTGTGCCCCCAAGAGCCTCCTACTGGTTCCAGCTTTCTCCCTAAACATGGACCCCTTACCAAGCCCCAATCCTGGCAGAGGGCCCGCTGTTGGCTCCAACCTGCCTCTCAGCTGGGCTCGCCAACTGGCTCCCACCCTTATGCTAGCCTACTTACAGGCTGAACCTTTAGTCGGAGTTGGGGGAAGGGGGTGGATGCCAGTACCATCCCGCACGCTAACTGCAGGCCAGAGCCACCTCCGGATTGTAGCCCTGATTTGAATTGCTTAATGGCTCCAGCCCTAGCCTTATTCCAGAGCCTGTTCCAGTCCCAAGCCTACCTAGAGGCAGCCTATCATCCCTACCCCTAATCCTAGTTTGGGATCGTTTAATATCTGCATCTCTTACTTTAGCTCCAAGCTGAACCTTCACCCAGCACTTCTGATAGCTTGCAGCCCTAACTCTTGCTCCATGCTTCCCACGGGAACAGACTCTAACCCCAACTCAGAGCGACCTACTGGTCTCTACCATGAGTATGACCCAGATTAGCCTTAATCCTAAACCCGCCAGGGGTCATCAATCAGCTGCAGTCTTCACTCTACCAGTCCTGGCCACCCTACTTCAAAAAAGAATATTGTAGAATGAGAGGGGTTGGAGAAAGACAAGAAGAACAACAGGCCTGGAAGACCTCCCGGATGAAGGGCTGGGACTGTGTACTTGAGAGAGAAGGTAAGTAAGAGAGAATGTGACAAATCTACATGATAATGATACACACAAAAGGTATGCCAGGAACTTCTCTTATCCCTGTCTCAGAGCAGAAGAGCAAGGTAATGTACACAGAAATATTCTTCCTCCGCACAGTGCACAATAAGATGAAAGAACTCATTGCCACAGGATGTTGCTGAAACTGGCCAAGTTCTTGCCTAGCCACAATATCTCCTATATGGTAAATACTGAAAAAAGAGGAGATTTGAACACAATTAAAAAAAAAAAAAAAAATCTCAGACTGCAGGGTTTAAGTCAACTTGCATATCAGGGGACAGGATGAATATCCCACATCTGCCTACAGGGACTTACTCCTTCATCTGACACATCTGGCAATGGCTGATGACAGACAGGCCTGTTTGCAACTTCAGGGGTTCACAGGTAAAAAGCCCACCAAGTGAAACTATAAGCCCTGCTCAGAAAGGAAGGCTACTGGGAAAGTGGAAACTAATTGTTTAGGACAAATGATAACAAAACAGGGATGGGGACTGAAGGTTAAAGGTTTAAAACTAGTGTGCCAAGGGGGGAGCAGACAGAGTATACCAGACAGCACCCACTGCGCCTTGAATGAGTTCAAGTAGTCAGTGGACACTGTCCAGTGATACTCTGCCCGGAGATGGGATTGCACCAGGGACAGGCAAGCAGCTTCACAACCCTCAGGGAGCTGAACACAGACAGGAGCCTGAGTTAGAAGGATCTTGGGTTTGACCCTTTCTGGGAATTCAGGGCATTGCTAAATCAGGCCCCAGGGGTCAAAACGCAGAGTACAACCAATCACTTTTGTTTAAATATAACTGAGACTTTTGCACACTTGTATTCCAGGGTGCGTGCATGCAAGTACATTTATGGCTTCTAATTCAGCACTGTTGCAGCTCCCAGAGGCACAGTGACAGCAGAAGCATATTGGGCCTTTGGCTTTTAACGACCTGCTCAGAGCAGGTCCCAAAGATATGGGACTAAAAACTCACTGGCTCCTTTGCACTCACAGTTGCTACCACTGGTGGATCCAAACTGGTGGAGCACACTAGGAAGAGACTTCCGTCTCAAATGCAGGGTGAACGAGAACGCTGCAGTCAGAGGAGATGCAGGTAGACCCAGCTGAGCCTTCTGTACCGACAGCTTCCAGTATGGCTACCCTGGACAGGCATGCAATCCTCAATTCTGTCATAAATTTGTTGCTGTCTAAAATGGAATTGCCCTGTCACATGGATACAATGCAATTCTCGAACCCCAATGCAAATAAAATTTGAGGCTGAAGGTCATTTATTCTGGGGAAAGTTCCAAAATTACTGCCTCATAAAGCAGGATGGCAGGACTGTTATTAAGCGTCAAGACTTTTTATAGGTCTTCAAATCACAATTTAAATGCTGAGCAATTTATCAAGTGGGAAGAAGCCATGAGACAGGAAAGGAATAGGGTGGGGAGGAGGCAGAAGGCTCTGCAAGCGGTAACACATGCTTTTTATTGCTGCTGTGACAGGGACACTCTTGGTGGGCTTTCCAGGCCACTGCCTCAGCTTGCTCCCGAAGGTTAACTACTCTCTCCAGCTCTGACACAAATCTAGTCAATGAGGAAAGTTGCCTTCTAAATTTAATCAAAACCCAAATGGAAGCACAACTCCCCATTTTCTACCTGAATCCTTACCTGGCACAGCCCTTCCTGCAGGGTCTTCCCTACTCCTGGGCTTGGCTTCCATCCCTGCTGGGCTGCACACAGTCCCTTTGTCCCCTGGTCACGTGAGCAGCTGTTCCACCTTGCAAAACAGCAGAATAGGGAAGCCTGCAGCCACTTCTATGCGAGTCTCCAGCCCCCAAACTCTAAAACACTGGGTTCTCTGCCCTCATACCCATGCAGCCCAGTCTTTCCTTCCCGGGGCCTTATCTATGGACCCAGTCTGACCTTCCTCACTGGTTCTTCCCTTGGGTAGGCTCTTGCTCTGTAAGAGGGCATTCACACCCTGCTTTTCTCTCCCAGAGACTCCTCTGAAGGACCACAGACTGCCTGTATAATCTCCCATGTTCCCCCATCGCATGGCCCTTGTGGAGACACCAGATGATATGACTAATTCTGGTCCAAGTAAGGCTGAGATATCCATTACTGACATCAGAGTGAGGGCACCACCACGTAATGACAACCTTTCTCCATCCAAAACGCAGATGCCACTTGGCAGGACCTCAGCAGACCTTCTGTACCAGCATCGCTGCAGAACAGTTTCTTAGAAGGGAAGTGAGGCAGATGGAGGAATCAAAGAGAAAGGGTGGAATGGACTGGATTGCTTAGGAAAATGCAACAGCACAAATTAGACAGTGATGCCAATATCCTGACTCATGCAAAGAGTGCCAGCCATGAGTGGCCAGGACTTTACTTATGTATCTTATTTTCAAGATAACACATATTCCCTTTGATGAATTCACCATTTATTTCACATGGCAAGTAAGAACAGCAACAGCTTTTCTTCCTGTGATGTTTGACTTGCTCCCTTTATTTATCCAGAGCAGGAAGAACACCCCAGGTACAAAATATCTGGCCTATTTTTTCCCAATATTCCTAGTACCTGTAGCTTACACAGCCCAGGTACCTTTTTCTTTGTCTCTTGCACTCAACCATCTAGCAGCACAATACATACTATGAGCAAAATTCACGAGCGCATTATACCCATTCTACATGGACATAACATGACTGACGTCAGTGGAAATAGTTGTGCGAAATGGCGAGTGAGATTGTGGCAAAGCACAGCCAACATGTGAGATAGTTCCCAGGATGCTGCAGTCAAAAAGCTGCCTCTGCATTCAAGCATAAACAAATGAACGTGGGCCACGGGATTGAGAATAATAGTCCACACACAAAAGCTGCAAGGCAGATTCTCATTTGTCTGATTGAGGCAGAATAATGAGGGCTCAAAGTAGCTCTGAGCATAAAATACCCATACTTTAAGCTATTTCACTGCCAGAGCAGTGCAAGGTAAAGGAGTATCAGGCCTAGTGCACTTCAAAGCAAGTCTTTTCTCAGGGATAAGCAAAGACTACTGAGCTGAACTGAAGGTCCCAGTAACTGCTCTCCCAAACCCACCAAGGCACAAACCTGGTGACTATCTGCAACTGAAGCAGAACCAGGTATTTTCCAGCCATGAACCCACATGATCACTATTAACTCAAGTAACTGCATCAATGGAAGGACTTGCTCTGGAGAGGGTTTGAAGAGCCGGCCACAGGACATGAAAGGATAACATCTTCCTCATTGCCTCATCTTTAATCACTCACCTGTCACTCTCCTGCTTAGCCCCTGGCAGGAGCTTCAACATCATTTTTTGCACATGCTGGAAATCAGGGGCAGTCCATAGAGCTAAGGATGCTCAGGACCTGTATGGTGTTACACAACCCTTTGCACCTGGGCAGCCTGGCCCTGCCAACAAATACAATGCTCCACCGGGAACACTACAAAAGCAGTCACCTCCCAAGAGCCGACAAGCCCCAGCCCAGCAGCTCCAAGAGCTTGTGTGCACACAGTCTGCACTGATTTAACCAAGTGCTTTCCTAAAACTGCATGAAAACCTAAGCATGCAAGAGGCTTGTATCCAGTGTCCGCTGACCTTATATACAGCACTCTCCAGTGGCTAAAGGAGGGTGAGGCTGGAAACAACTGTTTGACTATAAGAACAATGCTAAATGAGGTTTCAAACACTTTACTCCAAATACAGAGTTACATTGGACATAGGCCACTAGGTCCCAGGCTTCACAAAAGTCACGTGAAAAACAGTCACAGCCATGAACTCCCTATGGAAAAGGGAACAGGGCAAGTATAGAGTGAAAGAATGTGCTGTGGTCTTTCTACAACTCCTTTGGTGAGTTTTCAGCCCGTCTGCATGAGACTGAGGCAGCTAATCTCCTACCTGGTAGTAGTAATCCACATACTGCGGCTCATACTGCTGGGGCCCAGGATTGTCAACCGACAGCACATCCTTCAGCAGCTCTTCACAGCCTGGTGAGAAACAAAAGCAGATGCTCAGTTTGTTATCTGTCTATCCTACTACTGCAGAGAGGCACAAACAAGCCTTGGCAGGAGAGGAGAGAGAAGGCCAGTCCACTCAAAGGATACACACAACTTGAAGGAAGAAGTGAAACAAGCTGCTGGGGCTCGATTTGGTGAGCCAGTGTTGCGTGCACATGGCTTGAAGGCTGCCTGCAGCTGCAGCATCTCTGTAAACCAGCAGTTTTCAAACTTTTTGAGCTGAGCCCCACTTTGAGTTACAATTTTGTTTGTGTCCACCCCCCTTGCCCCAAAGGAGCAGCGCAGCCAGGCACAGCATGCCCCTCATCCTAGCCGCTACTGTGGCTCAGCTCAACTCGGTTCAGTGGGGTGGGCTCCATCTGCCGTGGCGGCATCGCCTCCTGCAGCTCTGGGCTGCGCACCCACCGCGCCGGGCTCCCAGAGGTGCAGCAGCCTGCTGGGGGAGCTGGCCTGGGGCTCCCCACCCCCACATGGCTGCAGCAGTGTCAGCCCCTTACAAACTTCTTGCCCGCGCTCCTCTGTGCTGGACCCCCCGCAATGTTCCTTCACGCCCCCACAGGTGTCATGCCCCACAGTGAAAACCACTACCGTAAATAGTTCTCTTAATAAAGAGCCAGTATCATGTTACCTTCTCATCCTCTCACATTATTACCCAGAACGTGGTACATCAAACAGGTGTTGCTATGCCAATGCCGACCTCCAGTGTAAATGCACTGCTGCCCAAGAGTGGGTTACCAAAACTAAATATCACTAGGCTGTATGACACTTGTTCTAGATTCACTATGCCTCAGACCAAAAGCCCTGGAGTTAAACTGTGGATCCCGATCAGAAGCCTGGATATAACTGTCTGCCTATTACAGTGTAACCCCTTAATGTCAGCAGTCACCCTGAACTATACTGATGCAAAAGAAAGGGCAAGGATTCAATGGTCAATACAAGGAAGTAAATTCACCTGCTTCCTGTTCAACTACTTTGCCTGTGATGGTCCTGGCACTGTTTTGTTTTTTTTCTTTTCTTCCAACACTTCCCTTCAAAGATCTCTCACACTAGGGAGTAAGTGCCTTTATGTGAGCAAATGCCAAGGCACTGGGCTCAGGACTCTCAACCGCTGTTGCATTTGCTCGTTTGTGGCTAGAAAAAAAAATCAATGTCTGTTTCTTTCCATCCCTCTCATCTGAGACAAACATAGAAACTTAGTAGGTGCTGCCAAATCCCTCACTTCCCATTTAATACCAATGACTGCTCTCTGTGTATTGAGCTGTGGTGGAAAAGGTAATAACAGGCCAGGTTATTTTAGAGCAACCAGCATGTTACAGCCTGGCTGCCTAAAACGTGTGAACCCCCCTTGGCACATGTTATACAACACAGCATTTTACTGGGAGGCTGCAATTATCCAATGGTATTTCTCATTCAGCCATGTCACTAATGTGATCTGGATGGCGGTGACAAACACATTGCTATTCACCCACAAGGCAGGTGAGCTAGAGGAAGCAAAATAATGTCATGACGAAGTGAATAATACAGAATTATGTTGCCAGCTGATTACTCATGTGTGTTGTCAGAAAGAAAGTATTACAGGAAGAGACACTCTCTGGTGTTGGAGGGAAAATCCCTTTACAACAGAAACAGGTGCCCAGCCCAACACCGCCATACACAGGAAATCTAATAGCTCCTTCCCTCCACATACACACAGCCATACGATGGGATGACACAAGGCAAACAGAGCAGCTGTCAAGTGAATTTGGACTCAAAGAGCATCACAAGGACTATGGGTCCCATGACTTTGCTGCAAGAAGACAGAACAGGAGGACAATTGGTTTTTTTCAAATGAAAAGTGAAATTCTCCCTTGATTGTTGCACAGGATAAATCAAAGATGATTAAGAAAGAGCAAGTGCTGTTTGTGGGTCATGACTGGCAGTTCATTTTTGAAGAACAGCAAGGTCCTCACTTGTGCTAGGCACTAAAGCCTTGTATAAACTAAGCTGGCTCGCTGGAGGAAGGGCTGACAGCTGTCAGCAGCCCACACCCCAAGCTGCTGGAGTGTGCAGACCTGTGTGCTTCTGCTGACAAACCATTGTAGGGTGCATTAAATGGTGTTAATACATGTGCTCAACACACCTCATCATCTAAGTGAAAGCACCACTGCTCCAGTCACTTCCAGAGCAGAACCATGCTGCACGGTGAGGATTGTTTTATGTGAAACATAAGCTCTGGATTGACTTTATCAGCTCTACCTGATTTCAATCTTACCATTTATTTTTCTCTCTCATTTTAGGTTTTTGAATTTCATTAAAAGCAGCCCTTCTGGAGGCTGTCTCTAAAGCAAGGCTATGTGTGGGGGAGCCTGTGTGTGTATGTGTGCACTGTTGTGTTACTATGCAACATTTACAGTTTATTTAAAATCTTCATCAACACAAAGGAATATGGCTGTGCAAAGTCAGACCCATGACTACCTCACAGATTCCAGTTGCCTGGCACTAGCTCTCCAGAAGATGCTCTGTTTTCCAAGGCATGCAGCATACATGCTTTGCTTGCCTATCGAGAATGCCCCCTAGTGCAGGTCAGCCTCTCTTGGATCACACCCCACCAATGTCCTTTTGTTTCTGATGACTGCAACCACAATGTGGGCTGGTCTGTGTTTCAAGGAGGTTCTCCAAAGTCCTGTTACAGGTAATAATTTAATTTTCCATTTGTATCTTTTGACTTTAATAACAAAAGCTTATTACTCATCAAGCTGTCTAGCGCCAAAGTGCATCATGAGAGTCTTTAAAGCACAAATGAATGGCTTGCTCTGCCAAGCGTTTCACGTGAGAGACTGGCCACATATTCATTACAGTGAGTTATGTGCAAAAGCGAAGTACCCTCCCCCCAGCAATGGATGCAGATTGGTGTAGGTGTGGAGATCTGCTAACACAGCTGTAAAACTGCCCCACAACAATATCTCCTGCCATTATCTCAACCCACGTTGTACACACATATTGACAATTACCACCTGGGGATTGTGCTAATCATGCAGCTCCTTCACTGAAAGCTCTATAAATGTTCTGAAATGTTATTTGAGCCTAGGAGACAAGGACTGTATTTTTACTGCCCCTTCTCTTCTCCAAGGAGGAAACAGAGGCCAAAAGGCTGCAATTTCCAAGGGTACATAAATGAATTGGATGCCCAAATCAATGGTGGTGGGGAACCAGACTCTTAGACCCCTTTGAAAATCCCAGCCAGAGCAGTTAACCTGTGGCAGAGCAGTAAGCAGACCCCAGACCTCCTGGGTGCCAATCCAGAGCAAAACATCCTTTTTCTCTCTGCCTTTCAGTTTTTGTCTGGGAACAGCATCCCTCCTCAGGCTCCTGCTTTCTGACCTGGCCCAACTCCAGTTCACAACCCAAATGATAGTGCCTTAGCAGCACAAAAATACAGGAACCAGAACTGCCCCCTCTCAGCATCTGCCACTGTCATGCATACAGCAGAAGAGATTCCCTAATGGGGGCCTACGTGTTGTACCTGCCCAACCCAGAACCCACTGAAACCCCTGGCCCCACCTGTCATTGTTTTCAACGGGAGCAAAAGCTCTGTGTATCTTTAAAAATGGAGAAGGAGCCAAATCCCAATTTATTGAGGTCAACAGCAAAGCACCCATTGGTTTTCTCCATCTGAGAGTTTGACCAGATTTGCAATCCAGCTTCCTCTGGTAAAGGCATTGCAATGTCTCCCCAAGTGCCAGTGGTTAATGGGAGCCCTCACATCCAGCAGCCAGCACTTCCTACGGAAGGGCAGCTCTGTGAACATCAAGAGGACATAAGAACTACTTGTCACCAGGGAAGATTTCGCATCTTGTTCAAGTGATACCAATAAGGGGAGAGGATGAAGATGTGCTGTGTGAATACTTCCCCTCTGGGGTCACTTATACACATCACTGCCATGCTGCAATCTCCCGAGCTCAGAGCCAAACTCCATCAAATGAACGGAAAGATTCCTCGCATCCAAGAGACTTTGGGGTTTGATTCCTCTGAAGAAAAGCGCTTCAGTGACAAAAGCCCTGTTGTTGGTGACCCACCCCACTTGCCACCTTTGGTACAAACCCCTTTACACATGGTCATTTGGCAGAGGTTGCTGTTGCTGGACCCTTTGACATATGTGAATGTAATTCCAAGCCACGTGCTTACAAGCTGAGAACTGCTTTTCTCCCCAGAGGCCAGATCCCAAATCTATTAAAGCTAACAGGCATCTGTTCACTTCATTGGGCTTCAGATTAGGGTCTTTGGGACACACAGCCAATTGCACAGAGAAAACGCCCTGCCATGTGAGCATGGAAATACACCAGGGGTTTTACTCAACATCCTTCTTCTTATCATGGGTGTTTGTGCATGGAGATCACGTCTTTTGCTTCTTTTATTTTAGCTTCATTTGAATTTTACAAGTGCTCTGGGAGGCTTACAAGGAGGACATGATCCAAGTGGATGAGCGTATTAACCCTTTGTGCTACAGACACGTAGATGACACATTTGTCTTCTAACTGCAGACGTACATTTTGGCTGGCAGCCCGGAAAATGACAGCGGGCCACGTTCAAGTGCTGCAATCGAGACATAATGAAAAAATCAAGGTTTATTCTGACACATCCCATTAGAGTTGGGAGAAAACATTACTACTTTTGTACAGCAGCATAGTCTGATCTGTTATGCATGGTGCAAATTGCAACCAGAATTTACCTTGAACAAGGGAAGAAAAAACCCCTCACTCTTGCCCATGCTTACAAAGTGCTGTTATAGATTTTTTGAAGCTGTAAGGTAATATATACCCCACGCAAGACTCCCTCCTCAAAAAAACAGGGTAAGAGAATTAAGAAACATTTACTGGCTACTTTAAGATGCTCCTATGTTAAGATGTCTCATTACTGCTATAACTTCATTTTCCAGAAAGTAACTAAACTGAAAGCCATTTATATGGCTGACTGGAGCCATTTCATGTGGA